CCCGTGTAGCGTAGCTTCACCTCACAGAACTTGGAAATCAATACCACAGAACTCGGAACTCCATCCCACAGAACTCGGAGCTCCATCCCACAGAACTCGGAACTCCAACCCACAGAACTCGGAGCTCCATCCCACAGAACTCGGAACTCCATCCCACAGAACTCGGAACTCCATCCCACAGAACTCGGAACTCCATCCCACGGAACTCGGAACTCCATCCCACAGAACTCGGAACTCCATCCTACAGAGCTCGGAACTCCATCCCACAGGCCGAGGCGGGGGACCATTTAGCTGCGAGGCCTACACGTGTAAGACTCCCGTCGGGCCATTCCACGACAAATCGACCGAGGAATAATACAGCGTCCCGTTCATATTTTATGAACACACGGTTATGACGTAAGCATACAAACAAAACTCAATTCTGCATGTTTTAGAGCTGTGTGGCGTACCGATAAGGGACTAGCAGCGGATAAAATTACGTGTTGACGTCGCGGGTTCTATTTTCAACTTGATCTAGTGAAAGCCATTCACGGAGTGTGATGTTAGAAGAAATGCATCAGAAAGCGTGATACGTACGTTCTCTGACCTAAGGACCTATAGAGCATTCAATGCCAATTATGTACATGCAGAGAATTAGTGTGACAGTTGGTCTCATTTTCTGAAGACAGTGGTGTCCTTCATTTTTTTTTTTTTGAAAACTGATAAGTGATCGAAGATTAACTCATTGCCATTCAGACAAAGATATGAATTTTGCATTGAATTGCAGAATCGAAGCATGGAATGAATTTCTTCTAGATCGGTCGCAAATTGAATCTGACCATTGACAGATGGCTTACGGCGGCCCATAATGAGTCGACCGGTCGGTATATCGGGTGACCGGACGTGATCGGCTCACTCTGCTGGGACTGCGGCTGTGACCTTTAAACCATTCATTTCAATCTTAAGATCAGCCACATTGCCATTTTTCCGAAACTCTAGAACGATGCCTGAACGACGGGTGTGGGATAACAGTCCTTACGTACCTGCCGTCCCTCACTAGCCGTGCAGATCTGGCCTGGAGCCGGGGCAAGGTCGCCTTGTGTGCTGGCCCAGCGCGCCTGGAACCGGACACATTAAATCCGATTCAGAACGCATCTAATTTTATGCCGGCTCCGAGCAAACCATGCCAGTACCCAAGACAGGATCGAAGTGGGCAGGGCCTTATCGTCGTAATGCCGGAAATTGAAGGTCTGCAAGTTTGCTGCTTTCAGCAACCGCCTCAAAGGAATGCTTAAAGAAAATAATCGATTGAAATTAGTCGAAGAAGAATGCAAAATGTTTGCGTGGCGTAGCGATGCTACGGTGAGTAAGATGCAAACCATTTGCCGTCATCAGGAGCAATATTTGTTAAATTGTAAGGCTGTTCAAATACGCAGCACTGCAACGCCAAACTGAAGAATTCTGTACAACCGCTTGACCTGAACCACAAAGCAACAAGAAGGGCCTTGCGCAAAATCACTGACAGTTTTCAAGAGAAAAACTCTTCTTGTGGTGGACAAGTGTTGGAAATTTGGGAAATATCGCGTACGGCTTTCTGGAAAAGCATAGCTAATCCGGCGTTTTAAGCACTGATGTAATCCCGACAGCAAGTGTGTGTGTCGTGGCCTCAAATTCTGTGGACTCAAGCTCCGAATGAACGACAGGATCGAGCTCCGTCTTGAAAGTGCGAGCGCGGATCGGAAGATCATGATATCGCGTCTCATGATTGATTCTTGGTTCATCATTCATGATTCTCGCGATCATGAATCCATGGTGTAACTGGGAAAAATTACACACAACTGTCTATGGCCGGATAGATTTATGTTCGATCACGTGGGAGCAGATTTACTTCTCTGTCCATGCAAGTGCTCGATGACCCAACACCTGTCTGCGCGGATTAATCGGACACAATCTTGATGATGGCGACATTTGTGTGCTGTACTTTGCGCAGCATAATTAAGCACATATTATAAACATGTATTCAGTTCATGCGTCAGGCTGGTGAGGTCGCGCTCGTGAATACATTGCTCGCCTTTTCTGGAAACTGTTGAAAATGCATCGGTTCAAGCAGGGACGAATAAATTTGAATGTCTGGAAAGGGGTGACAAAGCGTTTGTCCTTTGACCACAGGCTTTTCACCTGATATACCGGCCGGTACCGGTCACCGATATACCGGCCGGTACCGGCCACCCGATATATCGGCCGGTACTGATCACCCGATGTGTCGGCCGGTGCCGGTCACCGATATACCGGCCGGTACCGGTCACCCGATATACCGGCCGGTACTGATTACCCGATGTACCGGCCGGTACCGGTCACCGAAATACCGGCCAGTACCGGTCACCCGATACACCGGCCGGTACCGGTCACCAATAAACCGGACGGTACTGATCACCCGACATACCGGCCGATCGGCACATGACGTGCCGCCGTGCGCGATGCGCCAATGTTCAAATTCGATTCACGATCGGTCTTGCGAAACTTCCATATATTTTCTTTCATCCTCAACAGCAATAAATTGTTCTTTACTTGCACATTGGTATATCAGATGGACAGCGCCGTGTTTTTTTCTCCAGAAAATGAGATCAAATACCAAACTAGGTCACCATATGACCATGGTTAATATTGGATGCCACATTGACCCAGGCTTTTTAGCATAGTTACTTATGCCTCTAATGCACTTTTCCCGAGCGCTTTACTCCGCGCTCGAGAAAATGGAAAAATAGGGCACGTGACGTCATCGCGTATTTATAACTGCTCGTAAATCCTGATCAGTATGCTGTAGGGTTCTAAAACTTGCTGAATCGTATTTTAGGCTATAAATACTTCGAATGCTTGTCCCCGTCAAATTTCAAGGGTCTTGTGTTGAAAGGTGACTATTCGCGGTCGATATATCGTGGAATGACCCTTTAACCAACCCGTCTGCTACCC